CAAATCTTAACCCCCGGGGATAGGGTGTGGCCAATCTTCTTCTTAAAAACAGTAAAGCCATGATTGGTCATATTTATATGGAAGCATCCTCAGGTAGTGAAGATTCAAATTTGTTCAAATAATAACCCCCGGAGGTAGGGTGGGGCCACAATTGGGGATCCAAGTTTTACATAGAAATCTGCTGCTCAAGAACAACAAAGCCATTTGTTATATTGATATGAAAGCATCATCAGGTAGTTTAAAATTCAACACCCCCCTCCTTATAAACTTTTCAATACTGTACTGATTTTTGCTTTTTTTCCTAGCCAATGTGCTCAGGTGAGCGATGTGGCCCATGGGCCTCTTGTAACCAGTTCCATTTACACTTACTACATTATATTCTAGAATAAGACTAAGTAGGAATCAAGAATGTTCAGTTCTGGACTTTGTCACATTTTAATTATTTTATATGCATAAATGAAGTAAATAATTTTAATTATTTTATATGCATAAATGAAGTAATTAATTTTAATTATTTTATATGCATAAATGAAGTAATAATTTTAATTATTTTATATGCATAAATGAAGTAATTAATTTTAATTATTTTATATGCATAAATGAAGTAATTTGGGAAAGTAACTTAAAGTCCTTCCTGGACCAAACTTGTATGGATGATGCATCTAGGGATGGACATTACCAGACTTGCTTCAGATGCTGAATGTTACTCACATTTTCCAGATAAATGACAAGGGTAAAGTTTTGAAGGTTGTCCTTTCTCAAGTAACTGTAAGTCTTACCTTAGTAATAGACCAAAATTTGCTTGGATTATGGGGATGGACACTACCGGACTTGATTCAGATGCTGGATGAGACGTACAATTTCCGAATGAGTGACCTGCATAAAGTTTTTGGAACAGGTCCATTCCCAAGTAACTATAAGCTCTACCTAGACCAAAGACCTGCATTTTCCAGATGAGTGAACAGGTTAATGTCCATTCCCAAGTCACTTTAGCTCTCACCTATACCAAACCTGCAGGGATGATGCATCTAGGAATTTACACTACCCAACCTGCTTCAAATGCTGGATCTGACCTAGATTTTCCAGATGAGTAACTATAAGCAAGCCCTTACTAAACCAAAGTTGCATGGATGGTGCATTTAGGGATGGACAATAATAGACTTGCTTCTAACGCTGGATCTGACCTATCTTTTCTGGATGAGTGAACACGTTTTTGGAGCAGGTCTATTCCCAAGTAACTTTAAGCCTTAAACATACCAAACCAAACTTGCAGGGATGATGCAACTAGGCAACCAGGGATGTTCACTACCCAACCTGCTGGATCTGGCTTACATTTTCCAGATGAGTGATTATCAGTCCTTCCTGAACCAAACTAGCATGGATGATGCATTTAGGGATGAACAGTATTAGACTCCCTACTGATGTTGTATCTGTCCTACATTTTTCAGATGAGTGACCAGGTTAAAGTTTTTGGAGCAGGTCCATTTCCAAGAAACAATAAATCCTACCTGGACCTAAATTACAGGGGTGATGCATCTAGGGATGCACAGTGGCACTTGCACCTGATGCTGGATCTGACCTACATTTTCCTGATGAGTTTTTGGGGTAGCTTTGTCCCCAAGTAACTAATAGGCCTTTTATGACTAAACTTTCATGGATGATGTATCTAGAGATGGACACTACCAGACTTGCTTCGGATGCTGGATACGACCTACATTTTCTGAATGAGTTAGCAGGTATAAGTTTTTTGAGCAGGTCTTCCCAAGTAATTATAAGTCCAACCCAAATGAAACCTGCATGTATATTAATCTTGCAATCTGATTAAAATCAGATCCTCGGTGCTCCTTTTTTAACGATATGTTGCTTACGAGGCGACATATCGTTAAAAAAGGAGCACCGAGGATCTGATTTTTCCATTTCCAAGAAACAATAAATCCTACCTGGACCTAAATTACAGGGGTGATGCATCTAGGGATGCACAGTGGCACGCACCTGATGCTGGATCTGACCTACATTTTCCTGATGAGTTTTTGGGGTAGCTTTGTCCCCAAGTAACTAATAGGCCTTTTATGACTAAACTTTCATGGATGATGTATCTAGAGATGGACACTACCAGACTTGCTTCGGATGCTGGATACAACCTACATTTTCTGAATGAGTTAGCAGGTTTAAGTTTTTTGAGCAGGTCTTCCCAAGTAATTATAAGTCCAACCCAAATGAAACCTGCATGTATATTAATCTTGTAATCTGATTAAAATCAGATCCTCGGTGCTCCTTTTTTAACGATATGTTGCTTACGAGGCGACATATCGTTAAAAAAGGAGCACCGAGGATCTGATTTTAATCAGATTGATTTACCTTGCAAAGCACACTAACTAGAAAAAAGTTGGGTGTGACATATATATGACACATTGCCTTACATGTAGATAACATATGTTGAGGTGAGCTTTGTAATCTTCAATTACCTAAGTTTTTTTTTTAATTTTTTTATTTTGACCAGGTGGCTAGTGAACTGAATGCAGCAATCCAGGAGTCAGACTCCACACCAAAGCTGGCTAATCTCCTTAAACTCTTACTGTGGTCCCAGGAGGAGCTGGATAAAAAGAAAGTAAAGTACCCCAGAATGACTGACCTAGCCACTGGGGCACTCGAGGAACCCAAGTAAAGGGGTGGATCCAAAGGAGATGAAGAATGGATGTACATAATAAGACTAATCAATTCTGTGTTTACAATAAGGTGGCAAGTAGTAAACACTAAACATGTTTTCAAGTCCATGTGTTCAGATTTGAAATGATTATCGAGAGTTGACTGGCCACTGTATTTCTTATCAAAGGGTTTAAATTATGCTTTAATTCATGTATAAAAATTCTGTGTAATATGGATATTACTGTAAAATTAATACACATCTATTATTTTATGCAGAGTAAACCATGTGTTTCATTTCTTTTCTGCTGATATGTATGTCATGATGCCAGTTTTAAACAATTTTTTTTTCATTAAGATTTGTATTTTTTTTTTTTTTTTTTTTTTTGAGTAACAAAAAAATAAAATAAAAATAAAAAAAAATTGAAATAAAGCTTTGTCAAGGACAACCAGGAAATTTGATTATTTGATACATGTATAGTGTACTGGAAATGGAGTCCAATACCCATTACAAAAGAGTGCTTTGACCAAAGATATACTGTGGTCTCCTTCTATGTTTTAGCCAAAAGGTAAAAAACCTCATGCAGCCTTTGAACAGATTAAATTAACTTTTTCTTCCAACTCTATGAATGAAGAAAAAAAAAACAGTGGTCAAGAGGTACAATTAATATGATAATATTTACATTTCCAATGTCTTTGAGATAAATCTACAAATAAGGTAATGGCTTTATAACCCCATAAATCGATTTGCTCAGCACGTGATAAAACTGCATGCTTTTTTGCTGCGTGTTGCTCAGTAATACACCTGGTGGGGATGCTGAGATTTATTATTGATTTTTTTTAATTGAATCTAGGATCAGGTAAAAATGTAAATATAAGGAATAACTGTCTGGTTTTTTGGTTTATGATGATGATCAATCAATTTGCTCGCGTGATAATTTTACACATAAACGCCTTCGGCGTTTATGCAAATTATCACGTGAGCAAATTGATTGATCACATCATAAAACCAAAAAACTAGACAGTATTCTTAAATCAATTGAACAAGCATTCAGAGAGTATTATAAGCAATATAGTCCCATACCAGCAAGTGTAATGTGGTTCCCCTTAAAAGGCCACAATTTCATCAAATATAGATATATGTAGTGTCATAAGACAATAATATCTGCACATAAGTGTTTGCCTCTCAATATACTTTCCTTCATATTTGGGTAAACAGAGAAGAAGCCACAATAATTCTGTAATTTGAACAAAATATATTTATCAAATCAAACATAAAATGCTCAGGTGAACTTGACCCATGGGCCTCTTCTGTAAGTATTACATATACAAAATTGATTACCAGTCTGATATTACAGAATTCAATGATGAAAATTCTGTTCAAAAGGATATTCTCAAAACGGGTTTCTGTAAAAAAAAAAAAAGGGGGGGGGGGTAATTTTCGACCTATAATTGGAACTTGAATTTATTGTCAACAAAAATTATTACAGTAAAACTCGGTTATAGAGAGTCCCGAGGACCTGTGTACACGTATCTGTAATTCGTTATATCCGTATAGCGAATTCATTAAAGTATATATAACGCAATATGCATCTTTTCCTTCAAGTGTGACTACCAAATATATTTTTGAAGGTATTAAATACAAACATTTTACATGGCGTACATTAAATATTTCTGACGAATGGAATTTCAAATCTAAACACTTAAAAAAAAAATAATGTCATTTTAAAATTTTTGAAGTTTGAGATATTGAAAGTTCGTGAGATATTGAAAGGTCGTGATAAAAGATGTAATTTTCGTTATTTTTAACCTCTATGGGACAGAAAACCAGTTCGCTATATCTGTTAATTCGTTATATCAGAATTCACTATAACTGTAATATTTTCCTAGGATTTGTTAAGAATTTTGCTGGAGACTCAAAAAAACTTCGCTATATATATCTATGAATTTGCTACATCGGTGTTCGTGCTTAACGAGTTTTACTGTATTTTAATGCACCCCGATTTTGATGAACTTTAAAAATTTGGATGCCAACTATCAGAAATGATTGAATTGCGCAAACTTTTATCAGTATTTTGGTAGGAAAACCCATTTCCAAAACCTACACCCATTCAACTAAATTTACAAATATGACAGTCAAATAGTTTTTTAATATGATTTAAGTTAAATAATAAAATATTTTCATAAACACAAGATCGAAAAGCAATGCCATTGGAACAGGCACCCCTTTTAACAACAAACACTCCAAAATATCATTTTTAAACCCTATAATTAATTATTCATATGTTTAAAGAAATGCTGCTAGGTTTTGAGCATTAATGTTTAAAAGAATGACTTCATTATTATCATTACATATATTTATCTGGTTAAAGTAGTGCTGCTGGATTTTGAGTATTAAATATTTAAAAGAAAGACGTCAACTTCGTTATTTTTAGTTCTACTAATCAGAGACCAGAAGAGCTTATGTGATAGTAAGGTGTCCGTGCATCTGTCTGTCAGTCCGCTGTCTGTAAACTTTTCAAACTACTCCTTCTTCAGTTTTGATTTGATATCAATATAACTTGGCACACAAGAAGAACTACAATAAGATACATAATACTATGTATCACTTTTTGATTTTGATGAACGATGTTGCCACATTTACTAAAAATAGAAATTTCTTTGAAATACTTTCAAAACACTACTCCCCCCACAGTTTTGGTTTGATTTCAATATAACTTGACACATAAGTAGACTGCACTAAGATACATAATTCTGTATATATCAGTTTTTTTGGTGTTTTATATAAAAAAAAATCCTCAGGGAAGGGAGAACCCATCCCAGTCCCTCCACCGCATCCCCCTTTTAAGAAACCTGTGGACGGCCCTGAAAAGGAAAACTCAAAATGGAAAGGGACGCCTCATTAGAATTAAAGGATGAAGAATGGCTATATAGCCTCCCCCCCACCCCCCACCCCCCGGAAGAATAGCGATATAGTGAGACTTCCTTGGGAGATGGGTCTCTATGTCGCCATGATTCTTCCGGGGGGAGGGGGGGTCACTATATACAGTATATCCAATTCAATTCAATTTGTTTGTTTACTCACTATATTGCTAGTCTTATGGGTGAAGTTTCAGTATATAATACCGGATTTGGAAACTACACCTATTGTAGAAAGAATTTGGTATGGTTGTTGCTTTGCCTAATACAAGGGTATAGGAAAGTAATGGTAATACTTGGTAAGAAAACTAGCAAAATAATAGTTTTACATCGGTGACGATTAAAAAAAATCAAAAACTACGCACGCTAACTCTCGATTCCCGACTACATTTTACACATAATAGTTTCCCACTTAATATTTTTGTATGGAATTAAATCGAGGGTTTTTAATTGAATATAAGTTGAAATCCCAAATTGTAAGAACTCAAATATGAGGCAGAATTTTTGAAATAGAGGTTCAGACAAGAATTTTTTCAAAAGCTCAGGATCAAACCTCCCTATCAAATGTCAATTCATAATGCCTCTAAAAAAAATCTGTAGTGAAAACACGTCTACCGAAATAATAGTTATCTCTCTTTGTTTTCCCAAATAAGTTATATTAGAAATATCCATGTAAACATGAAAAATCCTTCAGATACGTTAACTTTTGAAAAAATGACTTGGGGGTAGGCGGTGGAACAGTAGTGTCATGACCAAAATTGCATAAAAATAGAAAAATTTGCAGTTCTTTACCTATTATGCGGGATGCATATTTTTCTTAGGCCAAAAAAAAAAAAATGAAACGCTGAATTTTGTGAATTCTCTTCTGCAAAGTGCTTCTGGGTGATTGATTTTAAATAATCTATTATCTAAATGTCCAGTTCACAGTAATTTCAGCTAATAACTGTTAATGGACAACCTGGTATTGCTCATTGATTATCGGAGGGCACCGGTTTTTGTCTGTCCGCCGTGTTTTCAAATTGGCCTCAATTCACTTCTATGCCCCAGAACATCGAACACTATCCGCATAGCACCTGGGGACTTGTTGAATCAGTCTTTAGCCATGTGTCGGTCTTTGTCAAGGAGTACCAGGGTGTCTATTGGAGGAATGGTACTGGGTTTCCTGTTACAAATCGTGGGTGTGTCTATGCCACACTGGTGCGACTCTACATCTCGGCAGACCAAACGTGTCAATTTTGGACTCTGGAAAACATGCGAGGATATAGGAAGGCTAGACGAACACGTACCGATATGTCAATTTTCTCTAGACAGTAAGTTTTTTTTTAAAATGTACATCATTTGGGAAATATCAAAGGGCATATATTTTTAGAATGGAAAGTTTCCATTTTCATTTAATTGTGCCCAAACAAATGACGAGAGTTTTCAGGAACAGCTAGAATTTGTTTAATTAAAGTAAAGTCATGAAGAATGTATGCACTTGTATTATTCAATCGATCACTACAAATCTCAGTAGGAAGATCTCATGTTTTAATGTAAACTGTAACATTACATTATATGTTTGTGGTTGCGTGTATTGATTCTCATCCTTAGACGCGGGTCAGTTTGTGGTGCTTTGTACAGTGGTGTATAATCGTTCATTAACTTGTACTAAGGTGCAAAATGAATCATATTCTCGGCATTTTCTGTTATCTTTAATTGTATTCTCAATAACTACAAGTGTAGTACTAGTATATAAGAAAAAAATGATAAAAAGTTTGGTGTTTTCCTGAAATGACAATGATACTGTCTACTGTGTTGTTTAAAAGTTCAAATAAATAATTTTTAAGCAAAATGATAATTAATGATGGTATAGTAAATCCTCAGAGATTACGCAGGTCACATATTAAAATTTGGAATGTTTCAGTTTAAATACTTTTACAGCCCAGATGATTGTGGTGCAGGTCCTAGAAGTGTTAGGAGTACTTGGCTCCATATTCACCCCATGTCTGGTATTTGCAGCCGCCATGAAATACGAAAATAAATGTAGGACCTCCATCTTTTCCATACTTTCTGCGTTTGGAACAGGTAAGACGGAATGTACTTATTGCAGCATACCATCTTGAGCACCCCAAGGCAGCTTAACAGTCACTTGTCATTGATGTAAGTGATCTAATAGAGCTCCTTTGCAGTGATTGCTTTTCGTGTATCTTACAATTGAACAAGAAATAAACCACAAAAAGAAAATGGTCGAATAAGGCGTGAATAATGCCTATAGCTTAAAGTGTATAAAAAATTAATTTGTGAACAAATTTTTTAGAGCAAAGTTCTTAATTATTGATTGAAAATTAAATTACTGAGGAGAAAAATGTGCATGTTAACTGAAATATCAAATAACTTTTACATGTATAATGATTGAGATTTAATTTGTCACTTTATTATTTGTCGAACCATGCGTATTTTTCTCCTCTTATTCGTCCATCTTCTTTGTTTAAATTAAAATGTGGTGAAAGATTCACCCTCTTGCGTAGACAGCAATATTCAAATGACATATATTCTAAGATATAGTGCTTATTTACAGCATCCTGTATTATAATGGGCGTGGTAATTTTTGGAGTGGAGGTCCCAGATGAGAACTGGAAGCTGTCCTGGTCGTTTGGATTTTCGGCGGCGGCGGGGGTTTCCTACTTGGGTGTTTTTGTAGCATTGATATGTGTTGCCATGGAAATTTAACCCAAGACGAAGAATGATCGAATATTATATTATATATTGGAACATGGATCAAGAAGGTGTGAAGTTGCCCAAGAATTTGTTCATTCGAGTCGATATCAGGTCTTGAATGATATACTAGTAAGACTGTATTCAATATTATGGAGGAGGTAAATTGGCAAGGGAGTACATCGAAACAGTCGAAGCTCAATTTGAAGATTCTCATTTTAAAGACATTTCATTTTGATCCTTTCTATTACTCCTTCTTATGATATTTAACAATATATAGTGGTCTAGCGCGTTGATCCTGCACTGCTACTTAGATTCCACAGGTCGAGAGTTCAACCCCGGGTTGGGGCGGGAGTTAACTATCCTTAGAAAGTAAATTTCTCTGTGCTTTCTATATTTATATTTCTTCACTAAGGACAATTCTGTTAGTTTAAGAGTTTTTGTTAATTAAATGTGCTTTAAAATAATGTTGATTTCATTGCAATGTGTATCGGTTACGATCTTCTAATAAAATTAATTATGAAAGCCTTATAAAACAAATCATTCAGAAGTTATGTGCAAGGTTAAATTTTTTGCGGACAAACAGATTAACAGACAGACGGACAGATTAAAAATTACATGCCCCCGAATCTTCGATTACCGGGGCATAAAAAATCATTATTTTTGCCACAAATGATCACTTTGACCTTTTGACACCTCTGATTTAATTTTAGATCATATTCAAATTCCATTTATCACTCGTCAATAAGATCGGACCGACCGGATGCCATGTAGAGAAATGAAATGGACGGAGATCGACCGTTTATTTATTGAAGAGCACAATTCCTGTGGGTTAACTAGTCTTCTTCACGCGACCAATTGCCTTCGTAGAATACACCAGAATATCGAAAACTCGGACTAGTTCCAAATTTGTCTGAGTTTTTGACTTTTACAATTAATGAAACAAGTCCTATGACCATTGTTTTTCTATAAGAATTCAGTTGCTTTCAAGATACACTTTAATGCAGTATTCACGTAGGTCTGTGAGAGAGGGAGGAAGGGGTGTAGAATAGAATAACATTTATTTCCAAATCAGGGCCCAAATGGGCATAAACATATAACATATACAATTACAAATAAAGTAATAACAGAAAATAGACAATATCCAATGAAGAGTAATTCTTCCAGTAAGTACTATAATCTATTGGGGGTATTTTGTTTAAGTTTCATATGTAGATATGTGTTGGAATATAAGAGAGAGAAAACACAGAGACCAAGTCCACAACTAAGTATCTTTGCTAGCTTGCTCCAGTCCCTCCTTTTTTGAGGAATGGGGCGGATCAAAAACACTTTCTCTCCACTGCACGGCATCATCCAAGAACCTGATAAAAATATGCGATCGAGTGAGTTATAGAACAAATTGATTATTATTTTGGACTGGTTAGTGTTCCAAAGAATTCGATATTTGAGAGCACAGATTAGATTCATTAAGATAGTTCTGCAATTCGTTCTGACAAAGTCATTATTAATGTGCTGCGGAGTAATTTCTTCGAACAAAGATTTTTGTTGAGATAAAAATTATAGTTTTCTGCATGTTTGGAGGGGCTAGTTAGTTTGTTGGGATGAAGTGGTAGATGAAGTAGCTATTTGTTGGATGAATTAGATATTTGTATGGAGTAGTACATTCAAATCGTGAAACAAAAATATTTTAAGCTTTAACTAGCCTAGGTGCAATTATATTAAGTGACAGAGAGCGGAAAGTTCCAAAAACTCCTCATTCGGAAGGCCTCAAGAGTCAGGTTAATCTTTCCAGGAACTGGCTTCCAGGGATTTTCCTAATTTCATAACTTTTTTGCTCATGTTGTTGTAACAGATTTTGATGAAATGAAATAGAAACCAACTGCATTTTGCGCCAAATCCACAGTTCTTCGCCCTTGTTCCCTGAATAGGCCTATTTAGCAGGCAAGGGATTTGTATGGTTATACTGAGAAACAAGCTCAATTGGAAAATACACATTCTATGGTTAGTAATAGTATACATTTAAACTTGTCGCGGTTAGTTTAATCGTAATGAGAAACTTTGATGTGACACAAAGAACGCTTACTTGGAGGGAGGTTATAGGTTGAGGGAAAAAAGTTTATACATCACACTCGCTGATCATATAGCCTAACAAGATCGAACCCACCCACCCCCCTTTTCTTCAGTTTTTTTTTTTATTGAATTGATTTTTAAAAATATGCATATTTTTTCCTTTGTTTCGGATTGAGTGAAATTCGTGAAAAACGGAGAGCTCCTTATTTAAAAGCTTGCCATTTCACTTGTAAGCATTATCCATGCGAACGCAGTTTTGAAATCCAGATATTTGACTATATAAGACACAATCCAAAGCCAAGTAAATTCTTCTTCGGGTCTATATTAATTATTGCTGGGTTTCGAGGTCAATACGATGATTTAGACACCTGAGGAGTACAATATTCACCGAGCCCGAAGGGCGAGGTGAATATTGTACTTCGAAGGTGGCTAAATCATCGTATTGACCGAAAAACAGCAATAATTGTTTTATTATATGATTCAATGATGAAATGACACACACTCATTAAGCAATCCATGCCATCTTATTTGTTCACATCTATTGAAGTATTAGCCGAACATAATGAGAGAAACGGGGTTGAAAAAAAAAAAACAGTTGTATTATTTTGGAATTTTTAATTCTAGTTTAGGTGCAATGTAGAAAAAATAAATGTCAGGCACATATATATAGGATTGATTTGAAAAAGGGGGAATAGAAGGGAAAAAAATAACAACTTACCTGAAAACAAATCTTTGACTAGCCCCCCCCCCCCCCCCCACGAAAATTCTCCCGACTCAAATTGTTATTTTGGGATGTAAAAATCCATAAAAGAAGTTAGGGGGGGGGGATTTCATTGAATTTTTTTTTAAATTTATCTTTAAAATTTAAATTAAAACTTTACATTCTCAAAAGGTGGGAAGGGGGGGGGGCAGGCCTCCTGCAAACCTACCCCTCACCCAAGAATCTATGTGCCTTAATGTTATGTTCATATGACAGTGAAGTCAGGTGCAAGTGAAATAACTTTCCAAAAGTATTTGCATCAATTTGGAATTTCCCTATCTATTTTTGGTCCAATGTAGAATAAATAATTCCTTATATTGACTTGGAAGGTCACGTGCAGGTCAATATAACGTAGTATTTTTCTAACATTGTTGGATCTCAGCCAATCAGAGAGATGGGAATTGTTCAGTCATATAATAAAAGCCTCTTCTGGCAATGAAGAGAGCTGTAGAAGGCAGCAATGGAGTCTCCGACGAGATATCTGTAAATTTTTGTGGTATCATGAAGCCGAACCCGGGAGTGGAATTCTCTTGGGCACAACAACAAATCACTCTAGCATTCGCTTGGACACAATTTCTCTTGGGTACAAATCACCCTAACAATGTATCCCTTTCATGTAATGTATAATGTTACTGTTTGTTCAGTAAAATTTATGCAAACTAGGAATAGTCTTATCTTGGTGATCATCATAGATTAGTTATCGAACATTTACATTGAGTCAAAGCTCTTTTTCAACTCAAAATTCAATGACGATCCCTTTTTATCTTCACATGCAGGTAGTCTAAAAAGGTTCTTGTTAAAAAAAAATAAAAACGAATTAAGATATTTTTAAAATTTTGACATTCAAAACAAATCAGTATTTACTGAAATATAAGGCCTTGAAAGTCTCCTAACCAAATTATCACGTCTATATCAAGTATTGTTCAACAGACTCAGAAGGGGCATTTCATCTTATCATTCCACCCTAATTATTCGGTAGAATGATGTTCTTCTGAAATAAAATGGGGTACTGTGAATTTGTATAAAGATTAGTCTGACTGTATTATGTCATCCCGGTCGTCATTAGCTGTTGATCAGTCACAGGATCAATAGGCCTGAACACATGAATGACCAGGCATTTTTCTCAGGACAAACAAGGACAGGTGCTCGCCAAGTGTCTCTGAATTCTGAACCCGAGGACTTCAAAAACAGATGCTGCAAAACAGGCAAGGGAATTTTAACTATTACAATCTCTTTATTAAAATCGTTAAACCCTTAATTCTTACTACATATTAATATCACAGACAATACATTTGATTATTGAAATCAATCACTCGCAGTTATCGGATAAGTTGTGCACGCTTTTTGTTCATTTGGCTTTCATTGCGGAATTTCTTTTCACGATTTTGATTTAAGGCTAGGCGCAAATAAAGGAAAATATATATTTTAAAATTTTGTTATTAATTCTAGTTAATAAATGATCTAAACTTTTGATGTGAATGATTAATCTGAAGTAACAAAACTAACTTTTAAAAACTGTTTAATGTACGTATATGCTACAATCATTGAGGGCAAAAATATCGAGCGAAATATTCATACTAGATGTCCCCCTTGATCGAGCGAAATATTCATACTAGATTTCCCCCTTGATGCGTTGGCAGTGGTACATTTATCAAGTTAATCAACATATGAGGATCGAGACGTTGGTTATTTGTATGAAAAATGATGCCATGTAAATTTCGGAAAAATCCCACAAAATATGTAGGTTTTATCTTTTTTGGCCAGAATAAACGCAAACACAATACTTTAAGGCAAAAAAGTACTATAGTAATTTATTTTCCATGCAATTTTACGGTTTACATTTTCTTTAGAATATATTTCTATGGCAAGTAAATTTAAACTTTTCACCATTTCATACAGTTGTGATCCCTAAGACACTAACATGATCACATTTTTCTATAATTATTTTGTTAAATGTTGATTCAATTGTAGATACATGTACTCACATAAGTACCTTACAAATATGTAAGCAAAGGAAACATATGGGAAAGTTAACCCTTTATAAGCACAGGGAAGGGGGGCGGTAACATACTATAGTTGATTTTGCATACAAAAAAGGAATTGTCCTTTTTGTATACTGATCACGTAATATCAAGAATGGTATGTTACTGGTCCCTGTGTTTACAACGTACAAGTAAGGCAAATAAAATACTTAATTCTTTTGCAAGCCCATGTCGAAACAAAAAGGCTGATTCGTTCTGTGCTCACTACTAGTGTCCGGAACACTAATGGCTTGCTTGTACAATGTGCAAGAATTTAATGCGTCTTATCTATACTTGCTTTATTGTACGTGCGTCGTTCTTATATTTTCAAGACGTTCTAAATTTTTTTTTTTTGAAGGCGTGGAATTATTGCAAGAAACGCTTATATTATATAAAAAGAAAATGCATGAACTCTGTTCTTTGAATGTTGTCAATCCATGAGGAGATTTTTTTCCGAAATAAGGGCGTCAGCAGAACTTTATATTACTCGGACATTGGGTCAAGTGAATATTCCACAATAAAGTTTTATTGAAATCGGTCGAAAGAAATTGTTTGTTTAGTAATCTTCGCCCACTGCACCTTCCGTGATAAACTTATTATAATTAAAGTCGGCCACTGGTTTGGGGTGGTAAACACAATAACTGATTTAGATCATAAAAATTGTTTTTTGATTTAAATCAGTTCTGGCAATCAAAAACAGCCGAGAAGATCTACCAGAGAATCTATTGTGGACGTGTATGATTAACATTCGCAACCTGGTATAACAGATATACACGACACCAACTATGAGGTTAAGCCGATGGAAAGTGGGATTTTATTATAAATTCCGGTAAAATATCATATTTGGACTACACCTTTAAAAACGGTATGTATGCCAAGTTTCTCCGTCGAGGACATTTGCTACTAACTTTTTTTATGGAACCATTTAACTTGAATGATTTGTCAATGCACATATATTTTCATTGATTTATAAAGCAATTTCTCAGGAGCGGATCAAGGATTTCCAGTTACATGTAAAAGAGGCGTAAACTTTCTAAATAGCTTACAGACAATATATACATGTAGTTATTACGAGTTTTAAGGATAACATGCGTTTTATCAAGACTCTTAATTCAAAGAGGTCTGAAAAGGGGGGTGAGGGGGTAACACCTCCTAAATCTTCGACTTTTTGTACTCCTTAATTTTCTTGTTTAAAACATAATTTACGTCCGACAACATTGACATCAACTATATCCAGTTAAAGAACTGATATAGCCACTGGTGACTAGAAGAATATTTACACGATATTAATATTACCCGAGCTAAAGGCCGGATATGTTTGGTGTAAAGAGAGTCTATATAGTTGTCTTTCATTGAACTTTTCATATTTTCAACTTCTTCTCCAGAATCACTGATCCACTACTTTTGCGATGTGCACCTTTAGTTAAAGAGGTCATTAGTTTATTCAATTGAGCAGGCCACCTCTTTTCAGTGGAAGTTGATTAAGATACAGTGAAAAAAGGATAGGATAATTATTTAAACATTTTTATTTCAACAAGATTTGTTGGCCTAGGAAAGAGAAACATTATTTGAGAGCTTTAATATTTAGTATACTTTTTTTTTTAAATCGTACCTCTAGTGTCTGGAATTACTATAGCCACAAGTAATCAAATTCATATATAAGTATTCCCAAAAAAGTGTACATTCAAGTTCAGTAGGAGGTCAAAGTATTACATGGAATAATAGAGGAATCAAGAATCTTTTAGTTAAAGTATTTTTCTCGACAACAGAAAAGCCATCCCCACGTACACGTAGTGAACATGTAAATTCAATTTTCTTCAAAACATGCAGGCACTTAGTATCGTTTTTGAAAAGGGTGGGGGATAAAAAATGGTAGGTTACCTAAAAAAGTAAATTATCCAAAACTGTTACGAAGTCTTAATATACCAATAGATTCTAAAGTTGAAATAATTATGCTCACAATATAGGATTTCATTTACATGTATGTATAGGATTTCATTTACATGTATGTATAGGACTTCATTTACATGTATGTATAGGATTTCATTTACATGTATGTATAGGATTTCATTTACATGTATGTATAGGATTTCATTTATATAGGGAAAACAAGGCTGAGTGATTTAGGTTAGCTTTTTGGCCCAGAGTCTCTAAATTAAAAAAAAAAAAGCGAAAATAGTAAAAGTCTCTGTTGTCTTTTTATTGCTTAATGTTTTTGTTACTTTTATATTTAAAAAAAAAGAGAAAAACAGATAGCACTAGAGACTATTTCTAGGAGTATACAAATTACAGAATTTAACACTAGTTTTCATGCGATAGGACTCTGTTGTTTATAATTAAAAAGACTGTCTCTGAGTGAACTTTGTTTAACCCTCTATTCACCAAAACAAAGAGACAGTCGACAAGGGCTGATAATGGGGATTGTCAAAGAAGAAGTTTGTATTACATTCAATACAATACATATTAATACCCCTGGGATATTTCATACGAACACTGTAAAAGGCAAGTTGTTTTCTAGACTTTGTAAGGTAAACCGCCTTGTCTTATTTTAACTGCTTATATTGTTAAAAAAATTGCTCTGTAATTTTTGTTAAAAAAATCGCTCTGTAATTTTTCGCCAAATATCTAAAATTTTTGGATGATTTGTCTAATATTATGATAGTATTTTGGATTCGATTTATTAGTGATGAAATTGCATAAGATAAAAAAAAACACTACATGGTTTTGATAAAATTAATGTATTAATGGTTCTCAGTTAACAGCATGTCGGAATTTAATTCCCAAATTTTGCGACTCGAACGTCCTTCTTCCTCTCTTTTCGAACTGTACTCCGGCACAAGTCCGACTAATTTGAACAAGCCCGGCTAAAGAATTCTCTTAGGTCATACTAATAAATGAAAAAGGTGAATATAACGAACAGTTATCGATCTATAAATAATCTATAAAACAATACAATTCTGTGAAGAGGGCATAAAACACGGACCCCTGGGAATTCCAGAGGTGGGATCAGGTACCTAGGAGGAGTAAGCATCCCCTGTTGACAGGTCACACCCTCCGTGAGCCAGGCAAAAATAGTCTTCATATTTTAACATGTAAACTTAAAAAAATTAACGTTCTCGTGTTCGTTTCCAACACAATTAAGATAACAATTTTTTGAAGATCGTTCTACGATAAAAGCTGCTTCATGCCGAATTTGTAGAATTGCTGAGTGGTTAGTATTGTAGTAGACTCAAAGCAAATCTGAATTTTAAAGTTTCATTGTGTGGTTTAATCTCAGAAATAGGTACTTGTTGTCCTCTAGTCCCTAAATGTACAATGTAATGGAGAGGCCTGATCAGAAAATTACCTCCTTGATAAGGAGAGCATTTTGTGGTTGATATCCTTACATAAGAATTGTTGTTTGATTTAGAGAGTTTATATTCGAAATACTGCCATAAATCTACCCTGCTTATTGGGAGGTTGTCAATATTTCAGGCTTTCAAATTTGTTTTAGACACTTGTTCTCAAGAGTAGACCCTCCTTGGTTCGAAAATGATAGATTTAAATAAAATTGACTTGAAAACATCCATGTTTCGATATATAAAAAAATCTGTTTGCTTTTGATGTCATAAGACGTAGCCCGTTTCCCGACAAAACAACCTTGCTTTATCGTTATTAAGGCAAACTCCAGCGTCATAGCTAAATTAATTTATCAGAAAATGAACTCTATTTCAATCATGGGATAAAGAGCTTAATATGAAAGGATGATTAAAAGTCTTTTTAAAGACAAATATTTATCTGCACCAATATTACTTTAACCGGAGGGAGCATGTTTTGATTAAACTATGAGAAAAATAGTTACGCAAGGCTTTCTAAAACTTGTAAAAGTCAAAAGCGAAAGTGCCATTCGAATTGAAGGATTGAAGAGTCATTTTCGGTATTGGATTCTTCAAGGTGAGGGAAAAAACATGTGATTTATGTCTACATGTATTTGCTACAAATCTCATAATTCCCTGTCATTGATTTGTTGAAGCAAGAAAAACATTACCGACATATATTAAAAACGCAGCCATGAAGAATTTACAACTTACATTTAGTGGAAATGGACCAACAATCGTCAAAATTATTGACATTAAGATACATCTGAGTGTAATCTAGTTAGTGCGCATGTGTAGATTGTCAATTATTTGAAATGATTTGATGAATAGGTTATTAAGAAAATTTCATAAAGATGATTTAATCTTATCTTTCCTATTTCTAATCCGATTCAAAAGCTAAAAAGGGGTTTACTTTATGATTAAAAACTGTCGACCACAGTGTAAGATATTTAAAGCTGGATTAATGCACTTTTCAGCCACTTGTTACTTGACGGGGAAATATCGTATTATGTAACTCTCTTCTGTAGAATTCGGGCCAGAACTACTTATAGGAACTTAACACGTTTAATATTGAAGGCAGACATAAAGGGTACTAGTATTTAGCATTGTGGAGCAGGTGTTAAAGCCACTTTAATTTTTTTTTGGGATAAATTAATTTGTAAAAACTTGTGTATTAAAGTCTTCCTTTATTCTGTCGACGGACACCTTTTTAAACTGAGAGTGGAAGGCTGTTTCAGCGATGGTACATGTATCTACATAAGGTAACTTGCATCTCAATAATTCTAGCTGTTAAAAAACTTATTTTTCTTAGGAGATTCCGACGAATAATTTTGCATACTAAGTGAGAAATTCATAACTTTTTTTATAGCCATCCTTATTTTTCGCGTCTAATTCATATTTAAGGTACATTGCAATTATATATGAACTGCACAAATATCGAGAAGACAAATAACAAAAATTGATGGGTTTTTTTTTCTTTTTTTCCTTTTCTTATTTGCCATGCCTTTTTTCTATTGATCTTTAAACGAGAACCTTGCAAGTAATTGATATCTGAGGAGACTTTACGCGTGTAATGGCGATCTGTCTGCACTATTCAATCGTTAAGGTGGAGCGCTGCACTTGTGATCTGTGGAGCCTATCAACAGAAATAGTGCAGCACAGTATTATCTGACTCTGTATCCTTAAGAAATTGAGAACCGTCTCAGTATGGACTTGTTTACGGAAAATAACACTGATAGATCAAAGGTATATGACCAGTCAATGTTGTATGTGTGTTGATTAATGTTTGCCTGTTCTTCGCTTCAGGCGGATGGCTAAGGGTGTATTTCGTCCGTGTGTCTGTCTTTAAGTGACGCAGCTTAACACCTTAAACATTTAATCGAATTGTTTGATTTTTTTTTTCAAACAAACTGCGCTCAAAAATGAATTTAAAGTGGCCAATATACCTGGATTTATAATATGATGTATATATGATTTTTATTCGGAACTACGAGGTAAGTGGTTACACAATGATGTTTATGTATAACAAGTGCCTTAACTATCCGATTCTTTTTTTAAAAAGATATTAAAATTTTGTTGATATAAAAACAGGCATAAAAGTCTGTGTAAGTATCGCATCGTGTAGATTGTTTTGACATACACTCTTGTAAATGACGTAGGTATGATAGGATGTGGTATAGCAGTATCTCTCACGATCATACACCATCAACTGTCAATTTTATCTAATATTATTTAATTCTAAAGCACAATTATATTGTTTTATTTTCCTGTTGTTCTTATGTCAAAAACACGGAGAGAGGGTGATAAGCCGAGCAAAATGTCGATGGTTGAACAAATAAAAAGTGTTTGAAAAATTGATTTTCAACTGACCATATTGAAATTTCTAAATATGAACTATACATGTATGGGTATTTGTAATCAGTTAACGTTAACGCTTTAATTTCAAAGTTATGAAAAGTTTTCATGAATAAAATAGTATTCACAAATGTACACCGAAGTATAGGCAAAATTGACAATTTTCATGTACTATGATATATTGTTCCTTATATATCTTCACTCCATTTTATCTTAAGTTTATTCTAAAAATATGAGTTAAAACTGAAAAAAAATTAATGCATTTTTGTCCCTTTTTTATCATTTTGCAAACAGAATTTTCCTTGAAAAGTCTGTTTGTTGTTTAACGTCCCTCTCGAGAATTTTTCACTCATATGGAGACGCCACCATTTGCCGGTGGAGGGCTGCAAATTTAGACCTATACTCGGCACTCGGGGCCATTGTGCAGTGAGGGATCGATCTTTTTCGTGTAAGCACCATCTGCGACACGGGACCTCGGACTATACGGTCTCATTCGGTCTCCATGTCCCACAGTGGGATTCGAACCCGCAACGTAAGGATCAATTCCTCACTTTATTGGGGATAAACAAAGCTTTATAGTCTATGTTAATCATTTACATATGTTAAATGACTTTGTCACTGAAAAAAAGAAAATTGTGTTTAACATCAAGTCTCGATGAGAAATCTCAACTTTCTAGAAGTATGTATTATTATGCGTACATTCAAACTGATCTTAAATACAAATTATATTTTGACACGAATAAACTTTAAATATATTTCACTAAAAAATGCATTGTTGATCTGTGCCGCTTCAGGTACACGATTTATTACCACAATTGTCCACCCATTACTGTGATTTCAAAAAAGAGGATTTTCCCCCATTAATTTGAGGTTCAAGTGGAGTAGGAATTTTAAACAGTGTACCAAAATATAATTGACTTTTTCAATGACGCCATCATCAGCTCCCTTTATGCATTGTATTGCTAGATTGTGTGTTGCAATCAAATATTTTTAAAGTGTTTTAAATTAACTTTGCCATACACTGATTTGTTTGAGCGTTACATAAAATGAAATAAATCTCCTGGCATTGCGGAACGCCAAAGAATTTCAATCAATCCAAAGCGCTTTCTCAATTTGAATTTATACAGCCGTGGCAGATACGTGTATATTGCATTTAAAATGATACTCTGTTTCGAGAATACATTATTCAACTTTACTAAAATAATCTTTCTTTGGAAACTTTGCTAGATTCGATTTTAAAGTAGTTAATTGAATTTAAAGTTGTAGAGAAAGGTGTCGAAAAGAGGTTCCGGAGGGTTCCGTTTGATAAAAGTCTTCCGTGTGACTGACCGGATATGGTAATACACGGATCACACCATTCGTCCACTGCAAAAGATAAATATCTGCGTTGAATTGCTAATTTTACAAATGACAATATATATATATTTTAAGTTTTCTTTATTTGCTTTTTCAGGTGCTAAACTCTGATCAGAAGATGAAGGAAGAATACTCTACGCATCAACGATTGCTTTGATTTCGCCTCTTACCGAAATTTATTTACCCACCCCAGTTTATTAGTTATTCATACTGAAAATGGCGAGATTTTCATCAAATCTAGTCGCTCAAAGTTTGATGTAATGTGAATCCTGTAGTATTATGAGTTGTTTTGATGGTTAATGAATGAAATTTTGAGAATTGAATTTTGCCACTTATTATGTCCAAATTTAAGGATGTTCGTAGGCCTACTCTAGCTGTAATTGAGGAGAATTCGCTCCCGGAAAATTTTGATATAGTGGACACAGATACCGAAAATACCAATACACATCTGGATGAAAATGACAATGTCTGTTCACATTTGAATTTACTGAAAGAAAAGACAGCCAAACTGAATTTAAGCACTCGTAGACCAAGTTACGTAACGTGGAGGAACGAATGTATAGAAGACTCCGGTCGAGGGATTAAGGCGAAATTACCCAATGTCAGGGGAGACGACTCTGTGAATGGAAATGAATTAACTCTTGATAAACGAATAGACAATATTGATGGTGCTTTAGTCTGGATTAAACAGGAACTTGTAAGTATTACACGGTTTGTCTTATTTCTCATTAGGAATGTCTTTATCATCATATTTTTATTGTGCAGCTCCTGCACATTTTTTCTAAAAATATTTCTACTTTTGGAAAGACATCGTAATGGGTCGCAAAAAAACCTCAGTAATAATTATTTTGCACGAAAAATATAAACATCTGAATTTTAATTTCATTTTTTGCAGCATCAGATCTCCCTCTATAATTAAATTCCGCTTGAAGCAATTACGACTACCTACTCTGTGTACCAAATTTACTTTAAAATCAATATACAAATAACAACATCTTTTCGTGGGTTCTATGTGTAGACATATTAATCAACCTGTGTTATTAAATCAATTGTATTAATAGATATCAAAAATGAAATCACCTCTCGGATGTGTTGTTTCAAATGAAGAAATGTCCATTGTTAAAAAAGGGGATGCATTTTCACTAGCAAAAAAAAAAAAAAATAAAAAGTCTTGTCTGTTCTATATGATGTACTTATACTCGTAGGGTTTCTTTGTTCCTTTTCTTATGAAGCGAGCGCGGAAAAAAAAAAACATGAACGTCAGTAAGAACCTGAAAAGGAGAATGTGAGGGCGACATAGCAAGGGCGACAATGCGAGGGTGAGGCTAAAATTTGCATAAATTCATACACTCCCGAGCGTTCTTGTTCCCTGAAATAGAAGCAACCCCCCCCCCCCCTTCAGATATGAGAAAGGACCAAATACTACCCTCTGCCGTTTATAATGTGACACAGTTATGACTTATTAGAGTTTCCTACCACAGAGGAAAAAACAACTTTGCATCCAGTTGACTTTTCAGGCAGACAAAAACCTGTCTTATCTTACTATTCGTAATTTTATAGAGAGAGAGAGAGGACACATGTTAGAAAGTCAACTTAACCTGGCTTTCTAAATATTTGGCTTCGTGTTAGAAATGGATTTTTTGTCAGAACCAAACGTGTAGTGGTGACAAAAACGTCCCCATACTGCTCAATGTCCGAAACACACCTGGCAACTGTCATCTTTAAATGTAAATAAACGGAGTGATATTTATCATGTAAAAAATAAAAGAACTTTTAAGCCTGGAAATGACAACAGTTCTGTGCACAAAATACTACTGTTAGGAATGGCAGATAATATTCCACATTCCACTCTTTGACTTTAGGGTGGTGGTCATTTTAAAACCTTCAGTATGAAGACTCACTTGGACAAGAAATGAATCCACATGTAGCGCAAATACAACGTAATTTAAGTTAGATTTGTCAGTACTGAAAAGTGCTTATAATAGAGCTCTTGAGAGCTGCTGAAAAATCTTTAATCTAATCTCCCATTTATAAAATGTCACATGCAACATCCCCAAAACATGAATGGTCGTGTATCCCCCAGTGCAACATCTGTGCAGATTAATGAAATCATTATAGGTGTTACTTAAACAATAAAAGGCTTTCTTTGGTTGTTAGTTTGGGAATTAATGTCGCAGCTGTTGCAGAAAAAATACATAACCCGCGTAAGCGGGTTATGTAAATTTTTTTCTGCAATAGCTGCGACATTAATTCCCGTACTAACAAACAAAGAAAGCATTTTAGTGTTTATATTTATATCTGTATAAAAACATTCAAAGTAAAATTAAACATGTTAAATATTGTATTATAGGTGTGTATGTCATTGTATGTATAATTGATGGAACAGCCGTTGCTCAAGAAATCTATGCAGGTGGCTTGCATAGTGTTGTTTACTCATTGATAAACGGCAATGGGTTTCTTAAGAAATAAAGGAAATAATATTCAAAGGATGTAAATATATGTATATGAGCCTTCAGGAATTTTAACCTGATCACTCTACCGGAAAACAAAGTCACGTGCAGCACGCTTGGCATCATCTGTGATTTGCATCACCTTATGCAATATCTATGCATCAATATAGGGTTTATAAAAACATAGGAATTTACATGTTCTAATTAATTGCAGCATCAAATCAAAGTATCCGTTATCATTTATGCAAGGTCGGTCATATGTCTGCTTAGGAATTTAATTTCGCTTACAGATTTAATTTGAGCATTCATCCGAAGAATGTGGCCATATTATGCATCCGAAGCATGTTTATTAGTATGCCAAATGAGTTTCATCATCCATCAAAGTTTCTTCAATATTTGAAATAAACTTACTAATGACAGAAACCTGCTGAAAGGAGGTAACCACATCTTTATCCAAATAGTGAAAATCACTTTCAGCATCTTAAACAATATTGCACATCTGTAACCCTTGCACAATTTCTAAAGAATTACTTAGATCCCAATAAGTAGCAAAAGCTCCGTTGACTCGTTTCAGAAAGACCTTTGAGCTTTAATGGTGCCTTTTGGCAGAGAACAAAATTCCAAATATTTCCTTATTACACAACCACATTACATGGTCAATCATGAGCAAAAAGATGGGGGGGGGGAGGGTATCACTACAGAACATATTTGAGGATTATCGATGAGTGAAATGACAACCTCAGCCTTGTAGACATATGGGACCGATATTGTACCAGAAACTGTTCAATATTTACACCTCGATCTGCCTTCTAGAATTGGGACCGATGTTGTACCAGAATTGTTCAATATTTACGCCTCAGCCTTCTAGACATGGGACTGATATTGTACCAAAACAATTCAAAAATTAAGCCTTGTCTAAAGGACATGATATATTTATATATATAAACCAACCAAACAAAAAATAAGCCAACAAAAAAAAAAAAAAAAAAAAAAAAAAAAAAAAAAAAAAAAAACTTTTAGCTACCAGTTGAGCTTTATTTAGGGGGTGTGACACACAGACTCAAGAGGATAACAAATGTTCATCCTTCTTTCTTTACAATGTGTGGATATTACTAGTGGATATAGTTTTAAAAGTTTTGCCAGTTATTGAATAACTTTAAAAAATAGAGGAAAAAATATTCAAAATTCCTTCAAATTTCCGTGTTTTCTAAATTTGAATATTTTCATTGTTGTACATGCAGGATCAAATGAGTCAGTTTCCTCATATTTAATAAACAACTTGCATAATCTCCACATTAGTATATAACACACGGACATTATCATTAAATTTATATACTTGTAATGTCAAACAACGAGCAAACATCCTTTGTTAAATTGGAGGTTTTGAAATCTGTGTTTACAGGGAACCTATTGTCAATTTTTTATGAGCATTTATTAAGAACTTACAGGCCGCATTTGAAGTCTAACTCTAAAATGTATTGTATTAAACAACAATAAAATCTCCTTGCGTGCCTAGAAACCATTCTGTTAACGCAATCCCACCAACCTCTTCATGTAGGTTCGATTTTTGAAATATAAACTGTATTACTTTTTTTGATTCATATAATGTTTGAAGCAGAAGGAGGGAGAAAAGAATTAGGTCCTTGACAACTGCATATACCCAACAAATCCATGTATACATAATTATTTATAGACAATGCAATAAACATGATAAATATGTGACTTTCTCAGCATATTGCATGTATCCAGGGAAGTAAGATGTTATCTTTAGTGTAAATTATACAATTAAACTCATAGAATAAAACGGAACACAGCCAGAAAAACATTATGAAAGTCGAAAACGTGAACACAGCCAGAATATTACATCAGAAACAGCAATAGCTAGAATATCATATAAAATACCAGAAACATCGATCTATCTTCAGACCGCTCGAAGTCTTTGGCGCATGCAAAACTTTTTTTCCCCTCCAAGAGATAGAAATACTTCAGATTCATGTAGTTTTTACCAATTTCACTCAGCGTATATAAATACCGGCATAACTGTCTTTCCTTCTCCCGAAAGTGCGTGGTTGTCAAAAAAAAAAGATCGCTTATTTTATAAGCCAGAAAACTCCCATTTCTTTATGATTTTATCGTTAATAAATAATAAACTCATATGGGATCAGCAGGTCTTGCATAATCCTTGACAAAAAATTGTTAATAAAAATAGTGATGCTTCCTTCTGGCTGTATTATAAGACATACACCAGACAGTGAATTAGATGCTTGTAGGTCGAAGCCATCTATTTGTTATCAATATTGAGATCTTAATATATGAATCTTTACCTGCCCCTGCCCATGTTCTCATGTCTAAAGAATTTATGTTTTTTCCCCTCTTTTTCTTTGTGGTTTGCTTAAGCATCAGTCAGCTTTAAGAGTGTGAAAAAATGGCTTAGAGATAGCACACGTTGGAATATTTCTCGGTTTACGTGGCCCGCGACTTTGAGATTCCTCTGTTGTAATTGTCCATATATTTTTTTCATTCTTAACTAGATCTGCTTGACTAGAAGGAGGGAATACAAAAGTATATAAAATTCATGTTGATATTAGCTGTGTATGATAAAATGTACAAAGCTGGTTCCTTTTCAATTGTAATTACTGTAGACATTAAACAATTGGCCCATTAGCCGCAAAGTTCTATGGAGATAACGAACAGTATTCAAGCTTAAAGGTCCATTCAAAGAATATAAATCAGGAGCAGAGCAAACACGGACCTCTAAAACATCAGAGATGGGATCAAGTGCCATGAAGGAGTGAGGATCCCCAGTGGCGGATCCTGGAATTTCATAACGGGGGTGGGGTGGGGGTGCGCAGTAGAAGGCAGGGGGGGGGGGGGTTGGAGGCTGCATTGAAGCCCCCAGCGGGTCCAGGACAAAGCCATGGTGGGGATCCGAGTCAGCCCCCGGAAACTGACGAATTCTAACAAATAAGAGGTGTTTTTCCCTTGATTTTAGGATAATACAAACAAAATTTAAAAAAAATTAAATTGAAACGGGGGGGGGGGGGGTTGCACGCCCGGCGCACCGGCGCTGGATCCGCCTTTGATCCCCTGCCGACTGGTCACACATGTGGATAAATGAAGCCCATGGTTCTTATACTTTCATCCGCTCACAACAAAGTTGTAAGGGAAATAAAAACTCCCCCGTATGTGTGCGTGTGAATCCGTGCGTTTTTCTGTGTCCATAACAATGTTGAGGGCGGAATACATGTATATGGAGTGACGTTTCAGTCTCAAACTGTGACAGGGGTCGTATGTGATCAGGGAGGAAATTCATTTGAGGGTCAAAAAGTCATGGTCAAAGCTAGTGTATCTGCTTAACAGGAAAATAACCAATGTTTTTGGATACGATATTTATATTGCCATTCTTGACAGTCATAAATTTGCTACATTTGTTGGAAATAACGCTTATACCTATTAACTCGAGGATCAAAACCGTGAGTTCAGTATTGTTAATATGATGTGTAGATATTTGGGATATGATTAAAGTAACCTACGGAAAATACATATACATAGGGCTTTTCATCTGAGTACCAAAAGATCAAAGTGACCAAGAGTTTAGTGTTATGGATACAATGTTTAGATATTGCTAAAGCGGTAATAGGTGACCAATGGGGACAAAACTGTTTTGAGGGTCAAAAGGTCAAAGTTGAATTATCTTCTTAACAATGTCGTACATATAAAGTGGAGTTCATTTTAACTACTAGGACTGGGCAATAATACCGACATTCCGGTATATTGCGGTATGTTGACAAAAACATATTGCATTGCAATGTTTTTGTAATTATACAGATATACTGGTAAAGTGCATGGACTCAAGAATTTTAAGAAAAGTTTTCATAAAGGTTTGCAATCATGTCGAACAGTAAGACAAAAGCTGTTATAGGGTTATTAAGTTACATAAATGTAATTCAATCAACAAGCTATCTTTTATTGGTTATTTATCATAGTTATGTACATTCCACATTTAAAAGGAAGTTAATATATTAAGAATATGCCATTTCAATTTTGTTGAAAATGTTGTAATACATATCGCAATACAGTTAAAATATCGCAATACGAAATCTCTTGCCAATACCCAGCCCTAATTTTGACCATTAAGTATTGATTTATTCTTCTGTGAGTATTTACGAAACTTATGCTACTTTAAAGTTTCAAAATAAATGTATAAATATAAGTAGTTAAAAATAAATTGATAAAGATAAAATTCATTCATAACTATCAGTTTCCCCTTGCCAGTTCAAAGTTTCAAGGTGAACTCCATCGATCTAATTGCATCACACATCATTGAACACAAATATAAATTTATACCACAATTTATTGTTTTGCTAATTTTTTTTCTCTTCACGAAGATAAAATGGAAAGGTGATGACCTTTATGAAAACAAATTTATTCACCAGCAAATTTCTTCTCAAAACCTTTAGTCTGATTAATTGACAGGTGGTGTAAAATTATGTATGGTATTTGACAAAACTTGTCATTTATCACTAAATTATCATTTTTATGAAGTAAACAACATTTGAATCACTTAACTTCACGGTGTGTCGCAGAGTATCTTTGCCGTAGATCGTGTATACCCTACTTCATTCAAGGTGTTGACATTTGCATTTAAATGGAGAGTTTTGAAATGAATCTAATAAAAAATAATAATAATAACCTTGTGTGCATATATCAATGGCCTTCATAAATTATTGAATTTCACAACAGGAAAAACTACAAACTTGTCACTATACATAGTATCATTTCTCTGATACCAAATTCAAAAAGAAAGTGGGATTTTTAACAAAAGTTGTACAAGTATATTTCGATAAAACAAAACTCGCTAGAAATCTGTTGAATTTCTTATTTGTTTGTTTATACCATTTATTATCAATTCATGTACTTAGTATTCATTTTAATTTCTTCAGATGGACTTTTTGAAAGGGGTATACTGAAATCGCCTTGTTTATCCGTCTTTCCGTAAATATATTTGTTTGAAGGTTATCTCTATTTAGAAATTAAATTATTAATTTTTCACACCTTGGTCAAATAATACCCAACATTTACCGGTAAACACGTGCACCTGGCCAGGTCTGACGATCTACGGTATTGCTATGTGTTTTCGTCCGTTGTCGTTCGTCGGCCGTAAATTTTTGAGCCTTTTCTCTTGAATCACTGAATCAATTTCAACCAGTTTTGGCATATAGTGTCAAGGGGTGAAGGGAGACAAAATTGTGAATTTCATTGTCCCTGTCCCCCTGGGAGACTAAAACCATCAAAATTAGCGCTATTTAAAAAAAAAAAAACTCTACTTCTTTACTCCTGGATATCAACCAGTCAAACAGTTGGCATGATTGTAATAAGAAATGAGCTCTTTACTAAAATTGTGAAATTCATGGTCCCAGGGTCAGGGGTTCTGGAGTAAGGACGTTGCTCCAATGGTCATATATTGAAACTGCATAAATTCTTTAAAATTCTTCTCTCCCCTGTATATCTAACAGATAAACTAGGTGCATGGCTACGATAAGCAAAGGTGCCTCTTCCAAAATTGTGAAATATGTGACCCCAGGATCAGATGTCCAGAAGGGAGGGGGTACTCTTAGTATTGATTATATCTTGAAAATGCATTGATTCTTTGAAATCTTCTTCTCTGTTTTTGAATATTTAGCAGTAAGACTAATTGCATATGATGAGCAAGGGTTCTTCCAGAATTTTAAAATCCATGACCCCTAGGTTAGGGGTTCTGGTGTTAGGGTAGGGCTCTATTAATAATATAGTGAAAATGCATTTTTTCCTTAAAAATCTTCTTCCCTGCTCCTGGGTATTAAGCAAACAAAGTGCATAAATATGATGAGCAAGGGTGCATCTTCCAAAATTGTGAATTTCATGGTCAGGGGTTCTGGTGTTAGGATGGGACTCTATTTATTATATAGTGGAAAAGCATTAATTCTTCGAAAATCTTCTTCCCTGCTCCTGGGTATTTTGCAGATAAACTAAGTGCATGGTTATGATATCAAGGGTGCTTCTTTCAAAATTGAATTTCATGGTCCCTGGGTCAAGGGTTCTTGGTGTTAGGTAGGGCTGTGTTGAATCTATAGTGAAAACGTTTTATACCTTTGAAAATCTTCTTTCTGTTCATGAGTATCTGGGAAGCAAACAGAGTTCAAAGTTGCAATAAGCAACAGTACTTTTACCAGATTTTTGAAATTCTGGACCACTTGTTCGGGTATTCTGGTCCTAGGCATGCCTCTGTTAATCTGTATTCTACTAATCCCTTTTTGCTATTCACCTATGGAAATTACTCACCGTAAATATTGTAATTTAAAGGTCTATTGAATAAGAGAATTATACAAGAATTTATACAAAAAGTACTTTCATAGTTTTTAAGGTCAGGTTTACCTGTAAATCAGTAGTAAATAACAGATTCATAAAAATGCGACAAAAATATCTTATCTTTGTACATTAAATGTTCTTCAAAGATCAAAAGAGACCAAGAGGTGAGAGGGAATGAGATGGGTTTACCAATAGTACTCAAGCACTTCTGTTGTGTTTAGTCTGCATTGTGATAGTGACAAATGGGGGCAAGTACAGGCAAGTAAATAGAACTTCTTTGAGATTTGTTACTGAGTACTAGACTAATTATTTTGTTGATCCCTGATCATCCTATTTCTATTACTTTTAGGCAACATAGCGTCATCTATTTTTTTTTTTAAATTCTTTACTTCTATTGATCCGTAAGGTTTCAGTTGTTGTATTATACTCAGGTGACCTTTAAGGTCATTGGGCCTCTTGATCTTTAATTTCTGGCTTTCTTAAAAGGTTATATTATACATTGTGACAGAAAGAAGAAGTGCAAAACATTTTGTCGACATATTTTTGAAACCGAGAAACTTTAGAAGCTTGTTCTTGTACAGAAGTTGTTTGTGACCATAGATGTATCTTGACTCTGGTCCAGGATCATTGAATTGCAACATGAATGGCTACAACTTTAATACGAAAACTATTACCTCATACTTCATAAATGTTCTATTACTGAAGAGTTTGAATTCTTTCTAGGATAATAATCAAAATCATTTAACAATTTCAGCATCTTTTTTCCAAGTGATTTTGAGCTTTGCAATGTGATCTCCATTCAAGAACTTGACACACTTTCAGATCATAGTCAATTATATTCGTTAGTTCGTATGAAACTCACTAAAACTTTAAAATCATTTCTGTTGTATTTTCAGCAAGCAATGCGTACGCAGGACCAAGATATAGCCCGGAAGTTGCTGTCATTGCGTCACGAAATGAACGCGCTGAAGCTTCAGTGGAGTTGTGACGACCACAAAGAGATGTTGGAAGAGGCTCAGTGTGACCTTGAGGAAATGCACGAGCTTCAGGATATATGTGACACCCCCCTAGACAGTATACAGCCCGACCCACTCAAACAAATCGGCGTAACTAAAATGAACCTCAATACAAGGAGATTTTCCATTCTATGATTGTGTTCTTTTATCTGTAGTACTGTGGTTTCATCAATTTTCGGTGGCATCAATTTTCGTGTATTTTGTAAAACAGACGTTTTCGATGATACGTATTTTCGTGGACAAAAACAATGCCTATACAAATGAATAACATATTTCTTAAGTTGATGAACATTTAATTTCGACGATCTGCTTAACAACGAAATCCTCGAAAATTGGTGCTCAACGAATATTGATGAAACCACAGTATGTTTTCATTCTGTCTAGAAAATATAAATATAATACTGTGTTTTTCTATTTATTTTGTTAATGTGACATTCAAAACTACAGATCAGTATATATAATAAATAATGCATGTACTTTGGTAATTTTGATTCCTGGTGAATGGTCAAAACATTGGTATTTTCACAATCTGGAATTTTTTGCCAGTTCAGAAGAAATATAGTGAAATATGGAGATAACGAATAGTATTCAAGCTCAAAGTCCATAAAAGCAATACAAATTTAATCTGGAGCAGAGCAAACACGGACCTCCAAAAAACATCAGAAGTGGGATCAGGTGCCATGGAGGAGTGAGCATCTCCGACCGGTCACATCCTCCGTGTGCTTCTTGTCATGATCGGTAAATAACGGGAAAATCCGTCGACAATTCAGTGTGTAAATAATTGTCTAACCTTTAGTATAAAAACGTCAGTCAGCATATGACTTAATGATAGATTGAATTTCCTGACAAGGTCATTGTATCGACCATAGAACCTACGACATGATGACTTTTACAAAAATTGTTGATACCGGTATTCTTGTTTCATCGACTTGTTTGTCAATAACTTACCTCGTTTTAGAAATTGTTGTACAAGTGCCGTACAAAGAGATGAAAAATTTACCGCCACCAGAAAACTGTTTTGTATAATGAATATCATAATGGTATCATGCATGAAATTAGATGTATGTTCGAAATTGCTTTGATAAATTCGTATAAACTTAGTTATTTGTTTTCTATACTGCATTCCCACTTTCAATGAAAATTGCATTTGTTTGTGGAGATATTAAGCGATAATTACATTCTGCGTTAATTTCGATGAAAATTTAGTGTAATAACGCAAAATATAAAATCTCCAAAAAATGTGTTTTTACATTCTGCGTTTGACAAAATGTAATAACGCTAAATGTAATAATTTCACGTGGACTTTTTTGTCTGTGAAAGTTTGGAGAAAATAACCTGGTAGGATGGCTACTCGAGATTGTTATAATTAGTTTTAAATTCTCTGAATTCTTAAACTTTAATGTAACAACAATCTAAAAATGTTATTACATTCTTCGTTGACTTCGACGCAAAATGTTATAAAGCAAAATGTAAAAATCCAAAAAGTTTGTTATTGTGCTATTACATTCTGAATTGATCTCGACGCAAAATTGAATAACGTCACATGTAATAACACACTTTTGGGATTTTTTTTTTTAAACAATTTTTTCGTCATTATTACATTTTGCGTTGTAACAAGGCGGGAATACATGCGTCTCACCAAATTATCAGAAGAAAGTTCACTTCAGAGTAATCGTCAGCATAGATAGGTCAGCTTAAGACGAAAGTTCAGGGTATCGGTAAAAAAAAAAAGCATGCATAATCTTCTTTTAACCAAGATTCCTGAAAATCTGCACGAAAACTTTTCGTATGATGTAAGATTTTTTTTGTAAGCCTAATAATGTTCTGTTTATCTGTTATCAATGTGAATCTTTGGAAATAAGAGACGTAATGAAAATAAACATTTTTAATATTTGATTATTCCTTTCTTGATTAAATTACATATTAGATTTATCAGGTAACTGACAGACGAGACTGAATACGCCAGAAAAGAAAATATCAACATGCTTTTATTTTAAAGCAATAGATAAAAATTTAGACATACAGAACTACATGTACATCTCTCGTTTTATGGGAAAAAAATGAATTTTGATAAGTAGATGGAAGTTCAAAGTTACATGTTCGGTATACCGCTTAACGTTTTAAAAGTGTGAATGAAATGCAATATTTCTTAACGTTTTAAAAGTGTGAATGAAATGCAGTATTTCTTAACGTTTTAAAATTGTAAATGAAATGCAATAAATTAATATTGCATTTAATTCACACTTTTAAAACGTTAAAGATTTTTTAATCTTTGAATTAAGTCTCACGTTTGACAAAATGTCAATCAAAAAAGAAGTGTAACTTGAAGGTCACAGGGTTACTTACCCAATATTTGTTAACAGCTTTGCTTCTGCAAGCAATGTAAATGCTGAATTTTAGTTCCGCCTTCTCGTGGTTCAGAACCGATAAACAGATGGGCAAACAGACGAAGTCGTGATTTTGCCCAATAACTTTGTTTAGCATGTTATAAAAGTGAATTTTTCATGTACATTCACGTGATTTTCTGGTAACTTTAAAGTAAAACTCTAGTTCGCATGAAATTCACCTTAGGCACTTTGGCTATGAATGGATATCTAACTACTTCATCCTCGGTTAAAATGTAGAATAACATTCAAAGGTCAATATCTTTTTGCATGACTGTACCTGTGAGAAATTCACTCAACCAAAATTTCGAAATTTTGCTTCTCTACTGAAAAAAAAATTAAGATAAATATTTTCTTTCAACTCATTGCAGCTGTTAACAGCTAGGGATTAGATATTCTCTGTGCTATACCCCTTTACATCCGTTATAATGGTAAGGTGCAAAGCTGTATTCCGCAGTTTTGTTCTTTTCGTCACCTACCCGGTACAATTTAAGTCAGTAGCATGTTGGTATTAAATTAAAGCCAGGGAGGCCATATTGAACAAGTATTCTGAAAGTATTACATTAGCAATACTAGTCCCCTATCGGCAAGTGTAATCTGGTTCCCGTTAAGAATTGAAAATGCCATAATTCCGTCAAAAAACAATGAAGCGGGGCGAAATGCAAACCTGATCTATAACTAATCAAGGTAAAGTCACATACCAAAAATCAGCTCAAGATCTAAAGCGTTTAGAAGAAAATTGCGGAAAACCCCTAAAAATTGAAAAGGCCGTAATTCCGTCAAAAATCAATGAAGCGGAACGAAATGCAAATTTGATCTGTAACTCATCAAGATACACTCACATACCAAAAATCAACTCAATATATGCAAGCGTTTAGGAAAAAAGTGCGGAAAACCAAGTGGGACAGACTGACAGACAGACAGACAGACAGACAGACGGACGGACGGACAGACTCAGAGGAAACCTATAGTCCCCTCCGGTTTCACCGGTAGGGGACTAAAAAGCATAGATGCAGAAATGAATTCTAAATGTCCACTGCATTTTGTGAAAATACATCGTCGGATATCCACGGCTGATCTCGCCTTTTCCTCTTCACTCACGAGATCACCCGTAGGTATCCGACGATGGTGAAAATATTGCCTTAATGATAATTGTTGACATATTCCCCCGTTAATTTCGTAATAAATAAGAATCCATAAATAGTATGAAAATGAATTTCATTTTATTTCTCTTTTATCACATTTGAATGAAGGAGTGTTGTTATTTTTCATTAACAATATAAAACATTTTCAGAAGAAATACATATATATAAGATGTATGTAATAAACTAATAATTAAAGAACATACATTTCCCAAGCCAATCTGGTCAGAGTCTTTGGTTTCATGTTCCTAAAGGTATACCTAGAACTGTGTAAAGTTTTAAGCAGATTACACTTCATAGTAACCAAACTTCGTATGAGATGAAGGTTGTGAATTAAAATCTCAGACAGCTCATATTTTCAAGTAATGGTGCAACTCACATCAGTCCTTCAAAAGTGACCTTAACAATCGATTAGGTCTATGGAAGCCATGGGTGACCCCCAAGACTTATTCTATAAATAGATACATGATAGAGAACAATTTCCCTCTAAACTGGCCCAAGGCCCACAGCTCTTCGGTTATGACTGGTGACATAGAGATAAAACATATTTTGGCTATGTATGCGAAATTCCATCCCATTGATTTATTAAATTCACCACATATTTGTTATATTGAAGATCTAGAAATAACATGTCGAGACACCTTTTTCGTACAAATATTTCACTGCCATATCTGCAGATTCCAAAACGTACTTACATGTAACAGATATAAATTTGTAAAGTAATTTGACATATCCTTCTGTTTTTGGGTATATATTAGGTAAAACTTTAAAAGGCTCATGAACTTCTGAGATTATAAAGTTTAGAAAGCAGTGCTGATTTACATCTTATTAGTCCCCTACCGGTGAAACCGGAGGGGACTATAGGTTTCCTTTGAGTCTGTCCGTCCGTCTATCTGTCTGTCTGTCTGTCAGTCTGTCCCACTTGGTTTTGAGCTGAATTTTGGTATACGAGTGTATTTTGATGAGTTACAGATCAAAGTTGCATTTCGTTTCGCTTCAATGATTTTTGACGGAATTACGACTTTTTCAATTTTTCAGGGGTTTCCGCATTTTTTTTCTAAACGCTTTCAGATATTGAGCTGATTTTTGGCATGTGACTATACCTTGATGAGTTATAGATCAAGTTCGCATTTCGTTCTGCTTCATTGTTTTTTGACGGAATTGTGGCATTATCAATTTTTAACGGGAACCAGATTACACTTGCCAGTAAGGGACTAGTATTGCTAATGCAATACTCTCAGAATGCTTGTTATCTCTAAATCTTTCACAATTATTGAAATCAATTGTTAACTATATGGTGAAGATTCACAACCTTGGGATCAATGTCCCTGCCTCTTTTGATAATAACAGAGAATATTATAAATTTCATTTGATGCTTCACTTATGCTTGGTGTGGTCAGAGACATAAATTTTATATATACATGTATATCTGCATGGTGTAATAAAGGTTTGGAAAAACGAAAAAGCGTCTTTCCAAGTCGCAAGGCTTCAGAAGTATTTCAAATTTTGTATCTGAAAAGCTTTGTAATCGAAAATTATCTAGGTGCAAAAAATTTACATAACTTAACGTTATATATATATATATATATATATATATATATATATATATATATATATATATATATATATATATATATATATATATATATATATATATATATACATAAGTGAAGAGATTGTGCTGGAGTGATTAGTTTAAGATTGCAAATGTTAATTTTCTTGTTGAAGCAAAATTTTTGTAGGATATTTAAGAACTGAATTAAAAAAAAGTTAACAAGTCTCAAAATACATATTCAGTGCAGTAGTTGCCCTTGTATAGGCAGCACAATACAAATCGGGAGCAGAGCAAACACGGACCTCCAAAAACATCAGAATTGAGATCAGGTGCCATAGAGGAGTGAGCATCCCCTGCCGACCGGTCACACCCGCCGTGTGCTCCTTGTCATGATCGGGAAATAACGGAAAAATCTGTCGACAATTCAGTGTGTAAATAATGGGTTAACAATTAGTATAAAAAACGTCAGTCAGCATATGACTTAATGATAAATTGTATATATATCGACCATAGAACTTATGAAATGATGACTTTAAACAAGACTCTTGATATTCTTGTTTCATCAACTTAGTTGTCAATAACTTACCTCGTTTTAGAAACTGTTGTACAAGTGCTGTACAAAGAGGTGAAAAATTTACCACCACCAAAAAACTGTTTTGTAAAATGAATATCATAATGAAATCATGCATGAAATTAGTGGTATGTTCGAAAGTGTCAAGTTGATAAATTCGTATAAACTTATATTTATTTGTCTGTCTCTTCTATACTGCATTCCCACTTTCAATGAAAATTGCATTTGTTTGTGGAGATAATAAGCGTTCATTAAATTCAGCGTTAATTTCGACAAAAATTCAGTGTAATAACGCAAATTAAAATAATCCCAAAAATGTTTTTTTACATTCTGCGTTGACAAAATGTAATAACACTAAATGTTATAATTTCACATGGACTTTTTTTTGTCTGTGAAGGTTTGGCGAAAATAGCCTGATGGGATAGCTACTCGAGATTGTTATAGTTAG